AGTGAACCACCCCTCTGATGGTAATTCAGTTTTTCGTGCCAGTGTGTGTTGCTAATATGGCATTTATGTACATACATACATACGTATACATGTGCTTTGAAAAATGCTAATTTTATAAAAAATATTTTAGCGATTCTATGAGTAATCTGTTATCTGGAGTTTTTTAATCGGCTAAAACCGCAAATATTCTTTCGAAGAAACTCTATTTACTAACGATACAGAATTCTCTAAAGCTAGCTAAAACGTGTGTATACATATTTGTGTGTACATTACTTAAATATGTACATATAAATATAAAATCTCTTTAGCACTATAATTCGAATCGTTTTAAATTTTGATTCGATTAACGTTCCGGCTCATTATCTCCCAAATTCATGATAATTACTCCTCTAGAAATTTGATAATGAATCTTACATAAATACATATACATATATATGTATATTAAGTTATTAAATGCAGTGGGCGTTTCCAATAATTTCCATTACCAATAAGTGTATTGAAATTACAGATAATGCCTATCGGTACCCTTAATTATAAAAGCTGTTCGTCTATCAACAGATAGAAGCGCTTACCTTTTTATTCGGCTCATTAAAATAGACCTCGCAGAACTTCATTATCAGCGCATACTCGCCATCGCCGTCTATCGGTAATGTATAACCGAAGGTTGCCGTGTGATAGCGCTCCGTGCGATAGAGTACCTCGTCTTGTTCCGCCACGCGTCCTATCAATAGTAGATGATTACCATAATCGGATGCCGTACCAATGCGTCCATGTAATGGATCAGCACTATAATGTATGCCATGTTTGTCAGTATGTTCCTGGCCGCCAGCATTCACCGCGTAGATGACCTTGAGGTTTCCCAGTACGCTGCTGGGATAAAAACAGGTCAACAGCAAACACACAACCAACAACATAAGCGGCGACTTGTGATTGTTATTAGACCACATTTTGTGAATAAACCGCTATAAATAAATTGCAGCGTTCGATTCGAGACACGCTCACGTCCGGAATGGCACCGTGTTTTTGCTGACGTTGGTTAAAAGTACCGACTACTCTTGATCTTTTTCGTCACTTCTCGAAATGTTTCGTCAACAAGAAAATGAGGAAAATATATAGTACTTTCCTTCTGAGCTATACAATCGTGTATAAAGTTTTGTCAACGAAAAAAACCAATTATCCACGCAGCAAACAGCTGTTTGTAATCAGAACTGGTGATAATTCGGAGTAATCGGCATATCGATTAAACTGGGTAACGAATTAATCGCAAAAGTTTGAGAAGCTCTGTACACATTTTTGACTGATTCAATCAGTGTTGCCCGAAGTCTATTAGCTTCAAAAAAGATATTTTTCATAAATAATCAGAAATATATTCACATGAAGATAATTATAACAAAATTAAAACTCCATACCAAAGAACATGAATCTATAAAAAGAGACAACACGTTGTAATTGTAGCGAGAGTGAACATCAGGAGCGTGCCTTTTCTTTTCATCCATTCAAAAAACGTATTTGGGTAAAGGAGAAGGCGCGTTCCTGATGCCAACGCTCGAAGTGAAAATATTTGCCAGCGCTTGAAGATTGGTTTTTTTTTTTGGATGGTTGGCAAAAAACTTTTAGTTTTTGTCATCAATTTTCCGTGCACGACAGGTAGACATTAATAATGAAATTTATGAATTTGTTTTTGAATAGATTTTGCCTGTGAAAATTCGCGCTCAAAGTTGGCTTTGTGCAGCTCACACTCGGCTTTATGACTTTCCATAAGATAAAAAGTATGGATCACTATTTGTTAAAACATAAGGGTAAGTCATTTTGGTCCAAATTAAAATTTCTATAATTAACTTTATAAAAACATTATCATTATCCAATAGCGAACCTTATGGATTTTCAACAAAAATTTTCTGGCCACACTGGATTCAACACGTGCAGTCAAGTTGCTAGCATTGTGGAAGAAATAAAAATAAAAGATGAAAATTTGAGAAAAAATACTATCACAGCGTTTCACTCTTGTAGTATATTGGCTATCAAGCACCAGAAAATTTCCATCACGTATTCCATATGCCACCGATTGTCGTGGATCAATTAAAATACTGTCATCACAGCTTTTTGGTACTCCAGCAACTGGTGTGTCTATGGCGGAGTTATGTGGAGCTGTTGCATGACTAAAATCAATTTGGGCTCTTTGAGAACTGGCTTGTTTGTTGCGCGCTATTGGCATCAAATGTATGCAAATTAGATTTCCAAACGGGCAACTGTTGAATACAGGAAAAAATGTATTTTATATGGTTCCGCTAAAGTGCACTACTACCGTGTATAAATTGGCCGACCTTCTAATAAATCAAGCAATCTTATTGTATCGTCATCGCCGCCAGTCACCAAGAAATTTCTACTTGGGTGAAATGCAACATCATTCTCCGGCGACGAATGCACTGTATTAGCTCCAGCGTTGCCATTTTAGCCGTTTTCCGGCTAGATTTAGCCGGTTTTGATAGCAACTAGCCGGAGAAAATTTGATCTAGCCGGCAGCCGATTTGTAAAAAAAAGTTAGCCGTTTTTAGCCGATTTTACTATTTGCCTAATTTTCAGGAGCAAAAAGTAAACAAGTTTTTCGAAAGCAATAATGCAGACCCAATGAAGATTTTTAATGAACTCAATGTTTTACTTTCGCATCTATGCTGCCTAGTGGTTATTAGCGCGGACACATTTGATCCTATATGCTCCCCGTTGGAACCATACCTTGCTCCATTTCCTCAGTTTTATCACAGTTTTGAAGAGTATTTAAAAACAAAAGTAAGCACAAACGCTTTTGACCACGAAGCCGAGAAAATAATTCGAGAAAATGGTCGCTATTTTATTATCACTTTAATAAAGGAAATACGCCAACGCCTCCCTACAAATATTGCCAAACTAAAAAAAAACACTTTTTTCGGTTGGAAATGCATTAAGAGTAATTAAACCAAAAGTATTTGTTCAACTACAGCAACAAAAACACAAATATAATGCCGACAAAAAAACATCCATAGAGATGCAATGGCAACGGTTAACGTTACATACCTGGAGTAATTTAGACTCAACTGTAAAATTTTGGGCCGAAGTTTATCAATTTCGAAATGCCCTAGGAGAAACCCCTTTTTCTGACCTTTGCAACCTAGTTTTCTTGTTTTCCCTATAAGTAATGCAGAAGTAGAGCGAATATTTAGTTCAATGAATATAATAAAAACTAAGCAAAGAAATCCAATGTGCGTTAAAACGTTAAACGCTATTTTATATATAAGATACGGTTTAAAACGTGAAGAAAAATGCTGCCATAATTTTACTGTAGATGACGATCTCTTAAAATTAATGAATTCAGGTGATATATACAATAGTGATTCATTTGATGATGAGGAATATACACTCGATATAAATTAATGGTGTTAACTAGTCTTTCGTTTCTTGCGATTTATTTAAATAAAGCATGTGGATTTTCACTAAAACATTTTAGCCGTTTTTTGCCAGTCTATGTGAAATTTCACTAAAACATTTTAGCCGTTTTTAGCCGCTTTTTTTTTGCCAATCTAGCCGGTCGGCCCAAAAAGTTCTGGCAACACTGATTAGCTCGCCTTCAGCTTTGTCAAATATCTTAAGGCCCGTTTACATACAACTTTGGCGTTGCGTTGGCGTTGGCGTTGGTTTGACAGAACGCACGTTAAAAGAATGCTTGCTACAATGAACGCTTGGCGGCGAATCCTTGGGCCACTAAATTAACATATTAACGACAGATAAATTAATATTTCATATCAATAATTGCATTAAAAACGATATTTCTTGCCCGCACTTGATTAAAAAGGAAAAATATTTCACATAATTTTATTTATTCGCAACAGCTGACGAGCGACGCACGCGAAAAGTTGAGAGTTGGCCATCTTTTTGCTTTGTGTTGGCGTGAGCGTTGTCGAATTTTGGCTATGTGGACGGCTGCATTTGAATTCATGTATTCATAGTCAGCTGTTGAAGCGACGCCAACGCCAACGCAACGCCAAAGTTCTATGTAAACGGGCCTTTAACGCGGTTACAACTTAATGCTAAAGCCACCAGATTGCCGTCTGGATGCCATGCCAGCTGTCGTCCCATACCTCTTCCCCCGGTGAACGTTCGCATAAATTCGCCTGAAAATGTATCGCAAATTCTTAACTTAACTTGTCGCCGCACGATGAAATGAACTTACCATTAGGGCTGAATTTTGCTGCGCGCACCCATTTGTGTGTATTTTGAATCAGTATTTTGATGGCTGTTCGCCATTTTTCTAGTCTGCAAACGAATAAGTTGACGAAGAAGCAAACAAATTCAAGCACATTGTTGCATTCTACCGTACATTTTAAAAGCTTTAAAATCTTAAAACATATGTGAAAAACTTTTATAATCTGTATATTTCTAATGTCGCAATCAAAACCAAATTTTATAAATAGCATTTTTAAAAAGCAATCATCTAATATTTTTCAAGTTTTTGGGCATATATGTTACCATTTGAACAGCAAATACTACCAAGTTTTAAGAGACTATTTAATGCAACTCAGGTCAAAAAACCGCACTTTAGACCAAAATAAGCAACTCTAGAAAACAGATGATCGCAGCTGTGGCCCAGGATGACGTCTATTGCTAAGATATCTCACTTGTATTTGTACACAATGGTTGCTAGTGGCATTTGGAAATTATCCGATAAATACCCATGATTCAATTATTAAAGGTTTTGTAAGTAGCTTTTTTCTAAAATT